CTGCTCGAGGTTGATAATGCTTAGGAACCGGTGCCGCGTTTAAACGGGATCGTCGGGCGAGCACGTGAAATAGTTTTACTTGATACGAATAAATGTAGGAAGATCCAAGAAACTCGAGGAAACATTGAATAACGCGAGATTAATGTAAATTTTAGAGCGACGATTTATCAGGTTGAAATTTTCGATCGGAATATGGAAAGTTACGTGAGATATGTCGATCGATATGTTGATTTTTATAATAAACGATCTGGTAGACAAGTGCCTTTATGTGCAAGGTTCTTTGTATAGATAATTGCTGCATTTACTCGGAATATATGTACAACCTCGATTGTTATAAGGGAAACATGGAGATAACGATGACAGTGGTAACTAAGTGATATGGAAATCGTTTGTTCAATTTTCATTTTTAGTTTGACCACGTTTAAACAAACAATACTATTGTATTCTTTTATACAATCTGTTGAATCTATTACAGAATGAATATAAAAATGATTTCAGAAATATTTTACCGCAGTTTAGAAATAAGTAGATTAAGAATGTAATGCACAGACACGCTACAGAAATCGAAATTCGAAGAGTTTTCAAGTGCAGCTTGCAAGAATAGAAGTTTCTCTTTTAAATAATGGATATCTTTAGAGAATTGTTATTAACAATAATTCCACGAATAATGCAGCTAACACCCGATAGCCTCCCGATTCCCAGAGTGCAGTGATTAATTATTCGTATCGCATTGTCCGGCGCGTGTATCAAATCCATCGAAATTCGCGTGGACGGGAAAGCGTCGGTCGCCGGACAATAATGTCCGCCATATGCGCACGTCCTCGTTAAACAGTGTTAGCCGCCGCGACTATGTTGCGTTTCATAGTTAAAATAATCGAAGGACGACACCCGGCGACAGTTCTGCGCGTGAGGTAAATGGCGGGGAAGCGAATTAACGAGACCGCTACCGATAGATTATTTTGTAAATGTCGCCTATTACACTTTTAACATAAGCTCCTCGAAACCCAATCCACTTTTACCGTTTTTCAAACGAAATTCGAAATTGCGGCCACTTATCGGCCGCGGTTTCAAGTGAAACGATAAGAGCCCTCGATGTATCCGCTGTTAAAACATATATTATAACGTCCAGTTGACAATGATTATTGATCGCTTAAACTATTTCGCTTGTTCGGAACGGCGTGTTGGTAATTATCACGTAGGAAAACGCAGCAATTAAATACATAATTCTCGTGTCGGTTTTAAAAAGTGGCACGTGAACGTCTAAGAAAGTATATTTCGAATGAAACGACTATTCGGAATGATTCACGATTCCTTCGACGTTTTCGTAGAAACTTCGGCTATCTTTTTTTTCGCTGGCGAAGTATACGAAATTCATTTCTTCGAAATAGGTTTTACTTCGCCGCGAGAAATATATGCACATCGATCATCGACGATTCTAATGTTAATGCCGGGCTCATAAAAATTCAAATGCGCCCGCAACATAAGAAACGGTTCGCACGATGGAATTTCGAGTATTTAAATCGAGATTTTTATCTATTTTGAGTTACAGAGGAAAATGGAGCCCTATTTTTCGCCTAAATTTTCATTATAGGACCTAGTAACACGCACAACATTTTATTCGATCTACATTCTTATTTGCAATGTCTTTGCTAGTTAGTTTTTAATTCAAACCTGATGAATACAGAAAGTAAAGTATTGAGAAACATTAACACTTTGCACTCGAAAGCTTTTGACGAGATATAGTCGACATTGCTTGAAACTCATTTTCACAATAATTTACAGGTAAATTAAGAAATAAAGTTATTTTATTTAAACGTTTCACATAGCAATAGAAAGTTTAATTTGAAATACTAAATATTCAGCTTCATAGTTTTGCTGTATCAAATAAAGTGGTAACTGAGAGTCACCTCTCGATTGTAAAGGGTTAAATCTAAACTTGCTCGTTAACAAGTCTTTTCGTTCAAAATGTAAAATTATAAATCGGTGAATTCCGGTGTAAAATGAAAGCGTGAATGTATTGTCGAATGAACGTGGAAAGAATCGAAAGTATTGAAAGCTTCGATTGTTCGAGGAACGTCAACCCGGTTGTTCAGCAAACACTGGACTCGCAAGCTGGGTCGGGGCACAAGTTTCACAAGAAAGTTCCTCGATCGGTAAACAAGACCGCGATATTCCCATTTTGCTCCCTGCATCTGGTGTCTTCTCGTTCTCTCGCCACACCTCGAGGTAATCTGAATTATTCATGAAAATGAAAAAGACACATCCGCGAAGCAAGCACGGGTCGTTTAAGAACAATAATTCAACGCCGGATGCACGAGCCGATCGTTTCTGCGCGAAACGTTATTTCCGCGTTCACAATTAACTCGAATGCGATCGGTAAATCGTAAAGAATACTAATTTACCATTGTTACGGGATACCTTGGATTTCAGAAGTATTCAACTGAACGAGAAGTGTTCTATCTCTTTCACATACATTTGATTTCACAGAATAAAATTAGAATCAGTTAAAACATTTCAGTTACTCGTTCAGATTTTTTTTATATTGTCCATTTCTTGTGACGATTTTCTGATATCTTTGCAAACTATGATAAAACAGTCTATTGAAAAAGTATAGGAGAAAATTTTCTTTGAATATTTTTAACGCGTTACGAACGTTTTTTACAAGCTACTTCGTATATTGCTCGGTCTGTTTAACAGTAAAGTGTCTGGTTTCCATTGTGTTAATATATTGCAGAAGTCTTAATTGTTTTGTAATAGTGTTCACTTCATAGCTCTTTGAATATTGTTTTCTAAAGGAAATTGTCACAGCTGGAGCTACATTTAACGTAGCGTAACGATACACTGAATAATTGAGTCGACTATCTGTTGTTACGTTTCATTCGGTACTCTGGAAACGAAAAATCGTACAGAAGCACTGATATTAGGGCAAAGGTCAAGGGAGAATTCGTTCTCCTTCCACCTTTCACTTCTTAATGCCCAGTTTCGCGTATCAAAGGTGGTTTCTTCGGTGTTCTCTTAATGTACTACGATCCATTCGTAATTGTTTCAATGAATTAATAGAAAACATTATTACTGATTCTTCAATTCTTTGTTTCTTTTCTAAATCAGTAAATAAAAATGAACAATGATTTTGATCACTGGAAACACTACTAGAGTCAACGTCACGCATGAATGTCCCTGAAAAATTAATATGTAAATAAGATTTTTCATAATAATGGCAACCAGAAACAACTACTTCGCATAACTGAACAGTCTTCAGTTTCCAATTATATAATATTACGTGCACACTCTGTAGACTTTGGTCTTGCGGTACAGATATCGCAATCATCGAACCGCAGCACCGGAATTCTATCGAATTGTTTCAAATACTGTTCGAAATTTTGCTAATTGGTTGCATTTACCCGTTTCGAAGTTGCATCGGCAAATCGAGATGCGACAGTTAGTAAATTCCCGTGAAATTGAACATTCAAGCTGCGCGAACATCAATTGCGCGAAATGTTAGATTTGTTAAAATTTTAGTCGAACATTCAAGTATCATTCGTCGTAGCTATTGATACCGAATAAAGTTGTCGTACATATTTGATCGATTCGAGTACTGAACTTCTAGAGCTATTACGCTTTCAGTTGCTTCAGCTAATTACGACAGATATCTAGAAAGTGCATACTGTAAAAAGAATATCCTTGCATTACTCTATCCCTGCTATCATGGCACTTTGGAATTTCATGCATGATATTTTCTCCAGATAAATGAAGAAAATAACCTACATTATATATTTACATTTCATATCATATTCAATCAAGAAATTGTTTAAATACCTGAAGGTTACTACCAGATTGCATACTTGGAGTATTTTCGCCTTGTCATAATAAGATCTGCCGGATGATTTATATCATTCCTGTAATATTACGACGTTAGGATATTTCAAAAATGTTTAATAATCATTTTAATAGCCCGTCAACTTTAATCGAATAAACTTCGAGAAACGTTGCGTGCGCTATTCATACCGATACCAGCGAAATTGCATTCACGTTGGATAATTCCATTCTTGTCACATACAAAGATTGACTTCCCACGGTGCTTCAGTGCTATGGCTGGATTTCTTCCCTATAGAGGGTGGTACCTTATTTTCAATATATACAGATATATTTTTTCCTCGCGACTGAGGGAAGGTTCCTTTCTAGAAGGTAATACTTCTCACCCACATTTCAAATCCAACGACAAGTACTGCTGCAGAAAATAATAGCAATATCCGTATTTATGAAATATAGAGGCCCATTACGTAAAGACACTTTGTACTTTATCCTGGATCTTATAAAATAACGTGCAAGAAATATTTTCACAAAGATCCATTAGATATCGACAAAAATATTTGCATCTCTCATTGTCGCTTCGCGTGACAATTACATAAATAATAAGTTCTAATTTCTAATCACTACTTGGCAATTTTACTAAAAGAAAATACTGAATCAAATCTACCTCAAAATAATCAACAACAATTTCCAACAACCAAATTCCACAAACCATTATACCAAAAAAGGAGCCCCGAAACTAAAAGAATCCCGAAAACCCAAAACGTTGACCACAACCGAAGACCCGGGGATCCCCAAAAAATCCAGCGAAATCTCCCGTTCTCCAATCCATCAACATTCGCCCCAGTTCCCATTCCGCGTCCTACTAAACCCTCGCGGTCGTTCCAGTTACGGGGGAAAACCTGGTAACCGACACCGGGTGAATTATCATCCTACGCACCGCGCGATTGCGAATCCTCCCCCCTCCACGTCGACGCGACACCTACGAGCGAGCGAGCGACCGACCGACGGACGGTCGGTCAACCAGAAAAAAAAGAAAACGCTCGTAGAGAAAAAAAGAGCCTTTCGTCTTCGCCGCGGAGATAAGCTTGCTTTTAATCGGCAGCCAATCAGGCGGGGGGAGTGTACCGTTGACGGACCAATGAACGTTCAGTCGCGTTATCAAACCTCGGCGACGCTCATATAACAGATCGCGAGTCCTGCTAGCCAGTGCAGAGGGTCGGAAACGCGTGCGAGAGGACGCTCGGTCTCTTCTCTTTGTTCTTCACCGTCGTTTTCCTTCCTTCTCCTCCGTTGTCCTCTTATCCTTCTCGGTCTGTGGGCCCGTAGACGCGGTTGAGGTCCACAGTTTTCACGGGTGGTGTACTGAGAGCAAGAAGCAGCGGCGGCGAAGCAAGCAAAAGCCGAACCGTGCGAACGAGGCGAAGGAAGGAAGGCCAAACGCGATCGTACCTATTCGTAACTGGTGCGCGGCGCCCGTTTCGTATCAGTCGCGGCGCTGATCGTCGTGCCATTCAGGCTGTGCCCGAGAGCGAAGTGAGGCCGCGAAACGGGTCACGCCGGTGTGTGTTCGTCACGGCTGAACGCGAGCGAACGGGGGTCCGGGAGAGTCACGGGTCAACGGGGGCTTGAGCTGCGCACCAGGACTTTTCAGATGGACCAACCCCGCCGGCCCAGGAGGGACGTCATGCCAGATGGACGGTGTCTGATCGTTGTTTTGGCGGCGATCGCCTTGACCGATGCTGCCTCCATCGGGCTTGCCACATCCAAGGCCAGGGACTGCAATAGGTGAGTGAAAGGGAAACGGAGAAGGTGCCGAACTCGCGAGCGGCCTCTCGTGCCGCCGCTCTCAGCTGTCGCGACCGACTATTAGCGAGATCGATCATTTCTCCATCGGGTTTCTTGTCCTTTGCCGCAGAACTTTTTCCTCGGATTCTGCTCAGACGGATTCTTGATGTCTTTATTCGGGAGACTTCGAGTGGGCTGACTTTGGCTTTCGGCCGTTCGTTTCCGTTTGTGGGTTTCGAGAGTTTATTTCGATGAGCGTTGGAGGATTCCTTGGGAAGATTCTATCTCTGTGTTCGTTGAGCTCGGGGATTTTATTGGCGGGTAATGGAGCTGTGAAACTTAAGGGAATCGTGGCAATGGTTTTTTCACGGAGTTTCTTCGGCGTTTGTTTCGTTGCGCGATGTTAAAGTTTGTAGTCATTTCGAATGTAAACACGTGTACCTGTGGTTTCAGTGGTTGCGAAATGAGCAGGCTGAAACCTGTTATTTTGACAGGTGAGCTGGTTTCAGTGGTAGCATTTCGCCTGCGTGAAATTATTTCGAATCGTTGTCAACAAATGAAGTAGCTTCGATAGTTTTTTAGAAATAATATTTGTTTATCGAGTCGTTAGAGTCTGTATTATTTCAGTTAAACACTGTGAACTTGCAAGCTTATAAATTGAACGTTTCTCATATATGTTAAACAATATTCCAATTTATTATTAGATTATTATAGGAGCAAGTTATGTAACCACATTTGTAAGACGTGTCACGTAAACCTATTCAATGAACAAATCATTAAAAGGATATATAAGACTCGATCTAACGTATCATCGAAACGATTCGAAAAAAAAGTCCATCATGGCAGACCGATGGTCCACGTGGCATTCAACGTGTTAAACGCCGCGGAACGCTCTTGGCCCAGAAACTTTGATCTTTCCGCTGTTTTGACGTTTCCTTTTTCTCTAGTCATTACATGCACGAAATTCGCAAGCGAAACGGTGCATTTAATAAACTCCGATTTATTTCTAAAATAAATCCTCGTTCAGAAAATTGTGTTTTTCGAGTAGACTAAAATTGGTCTAAATGGTTATCGATCTTCATGGTTATCAATCTTCACTCAATAAGAATAAAACAGTTGACAGTGACTTTGCGCTAAGCCCGTCCACTTGAACCATCGAAGGCATTTAGAAAGTCTTAGTATTCCACGAACAAAAAACAAGAAAAACTAAAGTGGCAACAACGAGGCACTAAGTTGCTCTGTTCGAGTAAACCGAACGAGTTCCAATCATTCCAATCGGAGAAGAAAATTCCACTTCGATACGGTATTGATAATTAACTGCGGATTTTACCGCAGTCCCTCCGATACGCGAGAAGAATCAACAAGCCTGCAAGTCAGTGCCCCGTAAATATGTAACGATAATAAGAACGGATTTAACACTATAATACGTTTACGCCGGCTCGCGGCGCCGGCAGTTTCTATTTTTACGAGTGACATTTTCCTTTCACTTTTGGCTCTGTAAAATCATCGCTTCGGCTCTAGCGGCTATCCGACACAAATCATTTGTTATTAGACAGATACGGCAATCGGTAGTGACACATATGTTGCGGCCGATTAATTAAATGCGAGTTGTCGGCCACTTTTATGGGTAGTTTGAGCGATTACCCGTGGACCGAGCTAATTCTTTTAATCTCAAAACATGACAATTGCGCGTTTTTATGTTACACATCATTTCATTTCGATAGACCAGAAACGATACCGTAAAGAATGAAAATTTCATTTCCGAAATTTCACATAGCCTGCAGAAGCTCGCAGTCCGTCGATATATTTGTGTACATTTGTTAAATTGAAAAATATCGATAACAACGTTCCACAGAAATATTACAAATTTTCGGACAAGTTTGTTTTGCAGCCGCTGCGTCATAAATTACTTTCGATGACATTGAAGCACAGTCCGATTAATTGTTGCACATGCTCGCGTACAGAGAAATAAACTCGTGATTCTGTACTTGCAGAGCAGATAAACGGAACGTCTCGGCGGTTTCTCTGCTATTAATTGTGTATTTATTTTCCATTTGGTGCGTTATCGTCGAGGTAAAAATTTCATTGTAGTAGAGGAATATTTCCAAGGATTTTTTATATCCACTGAATATATATAGACGCGCGCTCCAGTGTATACGGAGATCCTTGGAGCCCAAGATAAATTCAACTGGATGCAACTTTGATGTTCGTTGAAAGTGGTTGACAGTAAAAAAAGGAAGAAATTTCGATACCGGCCCGAGAGCAGTTTTATATTGATGCAGGAAGCACCGAACATGTCGCTGCACTCGGAGCGGATCACGATGAAAGCGCGAGTCCCCTGTTTCGAGTATTTACGCAGTCTTCGCGCACGATAAAAACGGTCTGCAATTAATACGCGGCACAATCTCGGCCCGTAATCTCGTGACGCGTCCGGTCAATTGTACTCGCAATTTTTCATAATTATCTGCAGCGCAACGCCGGTGGAATGCACGCTCGAAAACCAGCGGTTCGCGGCTCTACTGTTTAACCATATTAACCGTGCAATTATTAAACGACTTAATTATTCGATGGACCGTTGACGGTCCCACCTAGATTCGTACAGGTAAAAACAAACGATTATCAGCGATACGTGTTATCGATTAAACGTTCCCAACAATACCTACTCGATCCGTATAAACTAATCGACTTATTATCTCTCTTTATACTTTATCTTGGAGACACTTGACGCTTGTATTATTTGAACAATAATCTGTAACTTTCGGTAAACAGTCGAAACACGTTTGCCACTGAAGTTCTACTATCAGTTTCTTAGAAAAGAAAAATTCGAAATATAATAAACAACAGATGAATGCGTTTATCTTTTTCGAAATATTATCTTAACTCTTTGCACTCGAAAGTTTTTCATTAGAAATATTCAGTATTCTCCAATGAGATACAGACGATGTCCTTTGAAACTAATTAACGAGAAAACATATTTAAATTAAGAAGGAAAGGTATTTTATTTCAATATTCCACATATTGATGCATCATGCAAAGCTTAATATTATATATAAGACTTTATAATTTTGCAAATCAAATCAAATGATGACTGAGAGTCACCTCTCGAGTGCAAAAGGTTAATATAAGAGAACAGTTCCAAATGTTGTGAATAACTTCTCAATAGATAATCAGTTTCTTAGACAAGAAAAATTCGGAATATAATGAAAAGATGAATGCTTGAATTTTATTCGAAATATTATCTTAATATAAGAGAACAATTCCGAATGTTGTGAATAAATTTTCAATAAATAATCAGTTTCTTAGAAAAGAAAAATTCAGAATATAATGAACAGATGCGTGTATTTTATTCGAAATATTATCTTAATATAAGAAAACAGTTCCGAATGTTGTAAATAAGTTCTCAATAGATAATAAATCGAGATTCTCCGTAAACGTGCGATCATGGTTGTTAAACGGTTCGTGTAAGTAGACGAACGATTCTAGTACTCTTCCGTCAACAGTATCGATCGCCATAATCTTTGAAAATGTTCGATAGATTCCTACTTCCTGCTGTGCGTTTATTTACAACTGGTTGCGTACCGAGCCGCTGCAAGGTTGCGCTCGACAGTCTCTCCTGCAGCTGTAGGCCGCCGCGCTCCGCTCTTTTATGCAATCGTTCCGCGCATCCGCACCTATCATTACGCTTCCCATTTTCTGTGCATAAAACGGGACGGGAATCCGAGCAAAAAAACGGCAAGCGAGAGACGTAGCTCCCTTGGAACGATAATGAGATCGATAAGATCGAAAGTGCTACTAGCATCTCGTTCAGCCGGTGTTTCAAGCGAAACCGAGATAGTGCGCTTGCGAATAAGAAAGGCTTGCGGCTGGATTAGTCAGGCTATTCTACTTTTTCCGTGAGCGATACTCTTAATTATGTGAATCACAAAGGACTTTAGGGAACCTCGTATTACCCAAGACATCCCATTGTCTTACATTGTTAGGCAGTTATGACGAAATTGACGATGTCTTTGCGGACGTATTACGAAATCAATTCAACGCGATGCCGAGGAATTTTTCATTCGTGGGAATGTGACGATTTAATGACTTTTTTTCTCGAATCGAGAGCGAAAAAACTGGCAGATCGTGATTTATAAGAACTAGACTCGAAGAATTGGTAATTGAAAAAATGCCGATCGGACATTTTTCGAATCGCTATCGTTCGTCGCGTATGCAGATCATTCAGGCGATGAATAAAATATCACTGCTCGTCGGGTATAGGTGCAAATACATTCTGGACAATTATACCCGACAAAGGGGAGAGCGACAAATATTGTCACGATGCGTGGCAGCAATTTATTGGATTGTTCAATTTACAACAATCTATATTTCCGTTAATAAAGTAACATTTGTTGAACTTCTGCGTTCGCGATATAGTTTATCTTGCGTCGGCTCGCTTTATCGAACGAGGAATATTAATATTTCGCTCGACTTGCTATTCTTATTCCCGAGTATCTTTAAACGAAAATTTGAGGTTCCAAAAATATTTAATTTCCAAAGAATGGTGATCAGTTAACAAGATGCAACACGAAACTCGATTACCATTGAGAACATTATTAAAGCTAATTTATTGCTTCGGTAAGGACATAAATTTCGTGCGTGTCTGTCACGGTAAAAAAGCTTCGTTAGCTCCGAATTAAAGAAACACGAAGAAGCTCATCAGTGACTGGTTACTCTCGTCAGGAACTGGTTGCCTCGATTAATTAGTATGGACAACTGACTCTTTCGCTTCGTGGTCGCATGTATATTTCTCTATATAACGTCCACTGTCTGCCAATTACAGGGAACAAGTAATAAATGTTAATTGCGTTCTTCCTTCTAAAATAACTGCCAAATCTAACAACAGTGTCTGAAATGTTCACCAAATGTTCACTACAGGTGTTAGAAAGTTCTCGTAAAATTGCTTTTTTATAATTCGACCAACTATCCAGGCGATAATGCCAGGCGGAAGTTATCGCAACGCG